GATATGATACGTCCGGCTACAAAAGTTAGTTTTTCTGCCAGGTGTTGCACTTCAGAACAATACATTCATGGAGCTAAATACACATATTAAACTCCAACAAGGAAATACATTCTAATAAACAATCCAGTAGGTTCAACCATAACGTACACCGTTGTTTTAAAAGCAATGAGAACAATCCACCTTTGCTTCTCTCATAAAAATATAAAAATCCCCTCAAACCTCATATTGTTTACTTTATATCTACATTACTATAAAGCTGACCTTTTAAGTCTGAATTTGAAAAGAAGTCGTAGTGATGTTGTCGACCAGGACCAATCCTGGAGCTGTTGCACGGTAAGTTTACCTTATTGACCGAGATAATAACATTTTGAATCTGTGCAAATTCAGTTGGGGTGCATTTTGAATTCAGTCCTCTCAATCTCTGTCACCTCTCTGACTGAGGACGAGTCAGTTTGGTAACAAGAGAACAATAAATAAACTTTGACCAGGGTCATTGGGTCCTTTTGGGCTGGAAGGGCACCCTGCAACATGCCAATGGTTTAGAAGGGATGTCTTGTATCAGAGCTGCGTCTAGGGCTTGAGCATGTAGATGATATCCAGGTGAGTTACAGACTCAGTGGTGTTAATGCAGATATTAACATTACTCTCAATATCACTGATATTGGGTTTGATGGTGACCTCCAGGGCCCCTCCAGCATACAGCTCCTCTACCTTGGCCATGATGCCCGTGCTGCACGGCTTGGTGTTAATCGAACCCTGCAGGAGGGGTTTGCCATCCCACTTCAGACTCACTGTGTGCTCTTCTTCACACGAGCACAGCGTCACCTGGAGATTAAGGAAGTAGTAACCGTCCTTCTTTACAATCAGAGTGTTTCCCTTTCCCACTAAGACCCGGCTTGAGTCTGGATTCTTCGCCAACCATGTAGCCCCCGTTTTGTCTGTGGGCAACAGAAAAGAAGCTTTTAGTCAGAATTGTATTCTAGATATCCTGTGTTAAGTGATGACTGTATATGAAGCCAGCATGAATCACCCGAAGTTGTATTATGAAAATAGATGTGGTTAAAATGTATATGCTGGAATTACATATTCTCTCTGACCAGGACATGTTCTATATTTCCAAGCTTCATCCATTCATTCCATCTTTTACAGCAATTGTCATATGTTACAGAAATGAAACAACTTTACCATCAGAGGCCTGAAAGGTGAGCATTTTCCCCTTTCCCAAGAGAAGCCCATGCTCGGTGGAAAACTATTGAAAAAGGAACAGCTCCATTAATCTCAAAATTTCCACAGTGAATGTGGTCTATGACACACAGATCAGCAACATGGCCAGGAGACAAGGGCCTTCACCTTAAAGGGATAGTTCAGCCAAAAATACAAATTCACTGATGGAGGGGTGGGTGAAGTGTTTGAGTCTACAAAACTCTTTTGGAGTTTCAGGGGTAAACAGTGTTGCAGCCATATCTCACACAATTGAAGTAAATGGTGACTGAGTCTTCAAACAGAAAAAACCCCAGAAAGAGCCTCCATTCTGCTCCTGTGGTGTCATCCAAGTGTCTGTAAGCCCTGACATATTATATTCTATCATATTCAACACCATGTTTTTTTCACCATTCACCATTTTTCAAGTGTTTTGTGGACTCAAACACTTTGCCCACCCCTCCAATGGCATTTTTGGGTGAACTATCCCTTTGAGCGTGAGGACAGAATGAAGTACGTTAATCTTCGGAAGGAAAACAAAGAGACAACAACACAGTTTACTGGCATTTCCACGAACGGGGCGATGACGCAACAGGTCGACAGATGAAAGCACAAATTCTGAAGCTGTGGTTTTCTTACCGACGGTGTGTTGTTTGACTGGATTTGCATTGTGTTCGTTGGTGCCCCGGCGATATTGTGCTGTGAATGTAGAGAGAAACAAAAACACAAAATATGCTCAAAATGAATGTGACAAGAGGGTTATGATATCCAGCAAATGCACTTTGACCCAGTTCTCTAAATGGTCTTTTATTTGGTAACTTATGAAATAAACAACTATATTGTTTATATTGTAACTACAGTATAAGAAAACAGAATATAAACGCATTGTCTGTCAGAATTAAAATATCTATTTCAAACAAGTTTTTGAAGTCAACCATAATGCAATGCTTTTTAGATTATTGTTGTTTGAACTTTGTCGTTTTGTATCTTCTATGTGAAATTGATGTAAAATGACGATGACGGACGTCTATGAGCAGTTGTAGAGCACAGGCTGAGTCTCACCAGCTGCTACTATCAAAACCACAAGAAAGAACAGGTGCATTGCTGGGGTATTTTAACACAGCAGTGCTCACATCATCCTCTCTGTCACTCATTGAAAAAGGGCTTTTAAAAGCTCTTGTACAAGTTAACAACCTGAAAATTTAATGAATTCCGTCTGTCTCACCTGACGTCCAACTGTGAAGTAGAAGATGAAGAACAAGACTTGCATGATGGACAGTACGGCAGTCCACAACAGGAGGACGTGGACGAGGCAATGCTGGCTACGCTGTGACATCGTTAGACCGACAGCAGATCAGAGAGCTACCTGAAGACAGATGTTAAGAGCCGACGACCGTCTACACAGGTCCTGCAGTTTCCTCTGCTGTGCACCAAGACAGTGTGTGCGTTGTTTCCTGAGCTCAGCGTGTGCATGTGATGAGAACGTTTTGGTGTATGACAGTGTTCTGCCTTGCTCTGAGTTTCTAACAAAAGAGGAATACAGATGGTACTTTCCCTATATGTTGCAGAGGGAAAACACAGCAAACCCAGATTGTGAGCGTCTGGGTCTTGGGGCTGGCCCTTTCTTCCTCTACTCACCAACGCTCACAAAAAAAGAAGGAACAAGACTCACTACCAGGGAGAGAAGGAAGGAAAGACAAACTGTGAAATGAATTCTTTTTAAAATGACTTATTCAGTTCCTTATTTTAAGATGGATAAAGAAATTATATTTTATCATCTGTGACATTATATTTGTTGTTAAAACTGAAAGTCAGTGCTTTGCTTTTTTTACTCCCATGTGACATTTTCCTAAAAGTCACAGAAGGATTGATTAGTGTAATTAAACAAGAATCAGATTTTTTTATATTATTATTCAACACTGACTAATTGAAGCAATAACTGGAATGGTAGATTTTGGTAGCATTTTCTCTGCACAGTTTTGATAAGACTGGTAACTACAGTGATAAAAGTAATGCAATCAATACTTAACAATTATACAAAAATAAACACAGATGAAATTTATGGACATTCACTTTTAACCTGGGACATCCCAGAAGGAAACACAGTATGGAACAAACCTCCTTTAAATTCAATAGATCCAGATTTTTATTTGGATCTGCACCAAATAGCACAACTCACAATCATGACTGTTTTTTTTATTACAAGATCCATAAATCCTTTGTTAAAAAAACAAAAAAACAACCCTAACTCGTAATGTTAAAGAAATTTTAAAAATCCTGGGTCCCTGATCTGGATCGGCACCAAAATGTTATGGGTTCTTTCTTGGGTAAAGCTCATGGAGACCACTACCATGTAAAAGCTTGTACTATTATGTAATTCCTCTTTTGTGTACTTCTTTTTCTGCTTAGTCTGCAATATGTGGTTAACCCTGTTTTACACTTAATCATCACTATTGTTATGTCACCTGACAGCAAGAACTTCACAGGCCACATAGAAGTCACAACATATAAGGAAATATTTGTTTGTATTTGCACATCTAGAAAATTCCCACCTGGGTCTATATTTCTATATATTTGTATACATGTTTAGGTCAGTTTCACTTTCTCTTGTTGAACTTTGCTGTGGGGAAGTTTTATAACAGCAAAACAGGATGGGCTTTTGGTTCAGGTATGTGTCATCAAAGTGAATAGAGGACCCACTGATACCTGCCTTATAGGCCAACTATATAAATGGGAAAGTTTAGGTGACGCAACGTCAAACGACAAGCCCAGACTTCTCATCGTAGTGAAATAATGACAGACAGAACAAATAATGTGCATTTGACTGGACAATCAAAAGACCAGAGGGATATTTGTGTCCAGTCATGCAAATTTACAGTGAAAAATGCTCAGAGGAACATAAAAAACGGTCTCAGCAACATTTGTAGTTTCGCTCTGCATTATCAGGTGATATAAACCACAGTAGCATGAGTGGCTGAGTGAATCATATTTTCATTTGAGAGGCACAGAGGAAAATGGGTGTTACTAATATTCGGAAATGGCCTTGTTAGTGCCAGCATTATTTGCGTGAGGATAGATAAATTCGTAGCAGTAGTGGGCTAAATTACTAGCAGAGAGACTGACACGTCACATCAATGAAGGATGGAAAATCAGATTGGAATTTTCCGGAGGGCGATGACATACAACCGTTGTGACTCCAGCCACTCTTCAATTACTACTGTCAGTGTGACCTATCCTCACTATGCTTCCTCACTTTTAAATGATGATTTACTGCCATCCAGTGGATGTAAATCAATAATGCGCAATAAAAGTAATACAAGTTTTCCCAAAGTTAAGACGAGATACACGAATACAAAATACAGCTGTGGTGAAGACACATTTGAATAAATTGTGCAAGTATATAAAAATATAGAGAATATGTGAGATTTGACAGTCCCACAACTTGGAAGACGAGTTGTGAAAGAAAACAGGGAAATGCCAAGGATTTATTTTGCCAGCTTCTTAAATATGAATAGTAGCTGATTGTGATTATTCTTAATACTGGGTAATCTCAATTAATTATTAGGCCCATAAAATGTGTAAACATCCCATAAAACAGATAATCGGCACATATTCATTCTTGATAAGCTGGAAAAAATGTTTAGCATTTTACTTTTACTTCTACTAACAATTATTAGTCATCAGCAAGCCTGTCACAGGCCTGATGTTGTTTTACTGGGGAGGTTTGTTTCTTTGTTCTCTGTACCTGTCTTTTATATGGGACATTTATACATTTTATGGATCTCGCAATGAATCGTTATTAACCAAAAATGAAAATACTTGTTTTCAATCATTCATGTGCAGGAAACAACAGCAGTCAGCTGAGAAACATTTGGTACATGCTGTGCCTCTGCCTCGTCACCAGGGGGCAGGAAACCTCCAGTCTAACACACTGAACTGATCAATGAGAATCCAACAGACCTGCATGCAGCCCATTGATTGATTAACAACAACGTTCATTTCTGAACATTACATAAACTTATCACACGTTTCCTGGGGGATATGGTGTGTGTTCAGATATGTTTGGTCTCTGCTGTCTGTAGTGAACTGCCAGACAGTCAAACAGCAGGAGTCAATACTGTGGAAAAATCCATTTGCTGGGCTGCAATGCAGATATAAGCGCACAAGATGGAACAACCCTGATTTTTAATAGAATAATACATAATAATACATGGTAATGGAGACTCATGGAGAAGTACTGCAGACTTTGTGAGGATTATTTGAAGACTTTGTAATGCAGATGTTTCTTTTTGCACAGGTTTCTTGTCTGTGGAGTAAATGCAAACTAAAGTGTGGAGAGGGTGGTGCAGGATCCGTGTGTGGGAGGTGTCCTCGCATGTGTCGGACAGGAAACTCTCTGGATCAGGTGGATCCAACAACGTCAGTCTCATCGTTCCGTATTGATTTTTTTTTTAACTTCATCTGCGTAAAGTCAAACGGAATACGACCGGAAATCAAACATATTTTCAACTTAAACTCCAGTCTCAGCCGTGTGGCGTTGATCGAGAGGCTTTTATTTTGAAAGTTTGAACCGGTAGTGGTGTTCACTCCGGTTTCATTGACGCTCATGTGAACGCTGGACTCTGCGGACATTTGAAAGCAGATTGAACTTCAACAAGCTCCCACTCGCGAGTCTGTCGTCAGCTGAAGTTCACCGGGATGTTCGTGTTGCGTCGTGTTTTCACTTAGCTCCACTTTTCTCCCGCAACGTGAAGCGGTGGCCCCACCAGCGGGTGGGCTGTGCTGGGTGACCGGGGTCTGCTGCTGTCAAACCCGCGCTGACATGGAGCAGTCGCACCGGGGACGGACGGACTGAAAACAAGTTTAAAAGTCATCCCCGACAGAGAGACGAACAACAACGGACTAACTTTCCCGATAAAACGAGTTGTCAGCTACTCATTCGACATGCAGAAGTTCAACTCCAGCGGCACCCACGGCAGCACGCTGCCCCGGGACGGGGAGCTGCAGCTGCCGCTGGCGGACAGCGGAGTTCCCGGGGAGGGGATGGAGAACGGAGCCGGCAAACATTTCCTCGATCAAAGGGAAGAGGAGAGCTCGTTTTGCACCAAGAGCAAGATGCTGGTCGGGCTGGATTTAATATGTCTCTTTGTCGGTAAGAATACGTGTGTTACGTGTTGTGTTATTACAGATGCACTGCCATTTAATTTCCATGATTTCAGTCTGACCATTACTGGGTTTAAAAGGACCCCTACGCCTACATTTGCTTCTGTTTTTATTCCACACATGTCAACACCAGCTTTGTAAATCATTCTGACTTTTATTCAGAGGTTGCACGAAGCTGGGAAACGATTGAAGTTAACGAAGCTGCAAAGCACTTTTCCAGAAGTCGAAGGGGAAAGTGTTCAAAGAGGCAGACAAGTTTCTGCTCCCCTCGGTGCACGCGATGAAGGGATGAGAAGATGGAGGGATGAGAAGATGGAGGGATGAAAAGATGGAGGTGGAGAAGAGGGGGCCCGCTCAGTTGGCAGGAGCAGAGTTGTCCCGGGTACTCATCTGTTCCCATGGTAACCCGTGGGAATTGATTCTGATTAAAAATAAGCTTCGTGTTCTCGCGCCGAAAATCACCTCAGTTCTTCAGCCTCGTTTTTCCACCGCAGGGTCACAACTGAACTCACAGACTTCACTGAACCGACAGTTAACACAGGGAGAATCCGAAAAACACTAAAAACATGCAGCAACAGCATGTGCACAAGTCAGGGGACAGTGACTTAAGAGTAGGAGTGGTCCAAAGCAGTCTATATTTGTACATACGCTATATCAGATTTAATGATTTATTTATTTCTACTAATAAATCAGCAATTGTGTTGCAACTTTATTGTGCAAAATCATAATTTATCGTGCATCCACCGTCATAAAACCTTGAGGTTAATTTGCAGTTGGAAATGCTTTTGCATGATAATTTGATGATTATTTTAATCTGATTATTTTCCTAATTAATCTATTGTTTATTTTGTATAAAAACCTCAGTTGTAAATGCTATAAATAAAATGCTTATTCCCGGAGGTGGTGGAGAGAGCCACATGTGAGGGATCCCTCTCCTAAGACGGACAAAAGTGCAATAGATGTTGCGTGTAACTGAACACATCAACAAAAATTACAATATTTACAACACTGATCAGAAGAAATAGATTTTAGCATCAAGGAAAGTCAAAGTTTAAAGTCATCTTCTAATCTTTGCAGCTCTACTATGCTGCAGAAGGATGCACGCATACAAACAGTTCAAGTCCTTCAGTGTACAGTATACCCAACCTGAGGCAGTGTTGAGATTCTAGTGTAACTTATTATTGTGTTTCTGAGGAATACACTAAGATAAAGCATCATACATTGGGAGATTATTCTATGTTGTATGCTGTATGTGAATCTACAGTAATTAGATAAACATAGTGGAGAAAATTGAAATATTGTGCATTAGAGGCTGAGAAGAGGGAATCATCTGAAATCCCAAAATTAGACTTGTATCATCACATGACTGTGATAGGGAGGGGAGCATCCATGTTGTGTGGCTGATTTGGTCTGGGATGCACGAGAGAGAGAGGTGGAACCCGTCAAGGCAGATCGACAGGTCTCAGCCTCGTTGGCAGTTAGAGTGCAGGAAGTTGTCTGGCATACAAAACAGCAGCATGAGGCACTAGTTCCAATGCTTTTTCTTCACCCCTGCAGGTATGCTATTAACTGTTTGCCCTGCTTACGTCCCAGCAGCTTTGTTGTGTGTTCAGGAAGTGGCCAGTGACCCAGCATCAGTCAGCACAATGGAGGAAATGGTGTCACTCAGTTCTCCTCCTAAAACACACTATGGACATGCCACTTGCTTTCTCACTATATTGCATGCCTTCACCTCTCTTTAGCAGTCGCGACAGTGCATCTGATATTGTTTTCACCTCGTGAGTCTGTGTGTGTGTTTGTTATCACGGCACAGCGTGGTCATAGAGACACCTACTGCGGCAGCAGGCGGTTAAAAAACGTTTGGCAGCTGTCTGTCTGTTGATGGATTTTGTCATGGCGACCGCATCACAACGGTGCAGGACAAAGTTGCTGCAAAAACGTGCAAAGATGCCAGAAGTTGGTGGAATCTCTGTTAATTCTTAGTAATTGTTAAAACTACAGACCATCTTTCTAAAGGTCTTACTGAGCTGGAACACTTCACAACGAAAGCTGGTGCAAACATCACAAGGACAAAAACCAACCACAGTTTCAGGTTTTTGTGGTGGACCATTCATTGTCCATGAAATGCTAAAGGGAAATAAACTCCACAACCAGATGAAAACAAACCACGTTCACAAATGTCATCTTCCTTTTTTTCTGATGTTTTATGTCAGACAGGAAATGTGTTTGCATTAACGTGATTTGATTGCCTATAGCGCCTGCACTCGAGTATTTATTTAAACGCAGTGTGACTGGCTGGTGCCTGTGGTGCTGCTTGAAAAGTTGAACTTTTCTTAACTTCTACCTTGTACAACGCAAGCAAAGCAAACATTTCACAGGTTTCTGTTGAAGCCTCCAACATGGAAATGTGAGTGCTCAGTTTTTTTTTCTGACCTATTTAGTTGAGTTCCTCTCCAGCAAAAACAGAAAATGTTGATTTACAGTTTTACAAAACACATAAATCAACATTACCTAATAAACAACACATGTGGTGAATTGCTCAGATGGCTCAACAGTACTGAAACGAGAGCACAACATTAGAGGAAACTGTACAATGTGACGTATTGTTACACTGGTAGAGTTCATTAGCGTTTTGGTTACTTACAGATTCACAGCGGTCTCACTGCATCTTGCATTGTCTTTGTGAACCATCGTGTCAGTTATCATATCAGCAGAGGCCTGACCTTGACTCATCTGTGGGCACTTGGTACTCAATGCCATCCCTTATTGGAAATGAATTGGGCCCTTCATTTAACTAAATCCTCTTATCCCTGACTAACGCAATTTTCCTTTAAGACCGCCATCATCGGCTTCTCTCAGACGGTTGACCTGCCGACATTACTCATTCTGTAAAGGGGCTCATTCACAAGTGAAACTGTGGAATTTTACCCTGAAGCATCCGTCCTCATTATGCCATCAGCACAAGAGGGATTCTTGTGTTGTGAGGTTTCCTTGTGTCTCCTTGTTTACTTCAGATTTAAAGTGGTGACATAAAGTTAGTATGCTGTGGTGTTATGAATGGACTTAAATCTGTCTGTGGAATGCTGGGAAATTAAGGACATCAGCCACGGCTTTGACTCAGGTTACCTGATCTCGCTGTTACTCAACACCTGGCTCGTCTATCATTGTTTCGGTTTTGAGGCAGGGTTGTTTGTGGGTCTGTTCTGACATGCACGTGATGGATGCTCCACAGAGAAGGATTGTTCTGGTTCAGCTCAGTGTCAGTTAGTGCCGTGTAAGCGACAGAATGCAAATGCCTGAATGTGTTTAAGTGTTTGTTTGTGTGTTAAAGTGTGTGTGCATACATTCCTAGTGTGGAGATATGACCAGGAGAGAGGCAACAGAATCTCTGCCCTGTGGCCGCGTCTAAGATCTAGCGTCCAGCAGAACTGGGGGTCAGAAGGTTTCAGGTGTTTGTCATATCTACCAAACATGCAGGGACAGGCCTCCCAGCCTGCACTGCTGTTTCCCTCCTGCACAGGTGGTCCCAACTCTATCATCACCCCAATAAAGCCAGTTTATTGCTTCTCTGAAGAGTAATTGGGAAATGACTGGAAGTGGCAACAACCGTCAGCTTATACGGCTTTGGAAAACAGACCAATTGCCACTCGGCTTGACCTCCCTCCAGGGGTTAACTGTGAAATTGTGTCATACTTGATTTGCACAAGTTGTTAGGCTGAGTTAAAGACAAAGCTCATCGATTTATCTATTTAAAACAAGAAAGGGATTGATTCAATAGTGAAACTCAGTTTTGGATACTTTAGAGACAAAAACCTGGAATCAGTTGATGGCTGTAGTGTGTGAGTGTGTTTTTTGTTCAAGACGAGAAGCAGCATGCCAGGACGAGACGATAGGTATCTACCCTAGTGATCTGAATTCTAAGAGGGCCCTGTCTTTCCAGCTTATCTTTGCTTTTGTCAGCTCCTCTTTTTCTCTTCTTTTCTTCAGACAGTCTCTATTTTGGGGCTGAAGGTGTTCCAGCAATGTAGCGAGGTGTGTGTGTGTGTGTGTGTGTGTGTGTGTGTGTGTGTGTGTGTTTGGGGCAGGTGACGGGTTTATGTGAGAGGATTCCTGGTTCTGTTCTTTTGGCAGAGAAAGCCGCCAAGTGAGTGAGACAGCGAGAGGCCAACACGTCACAGCATGTTGGTGTGTACCGGGCCAGGAATATTACATTTTCTCATGTGCGTGTGCATTTATCTGTGTGTGTGCCTGTGCGTGCTAACGAGGAAAAGTGTGGGTGTGGATGTTTGTATATTTGTGTCATCGTGACAGCAAACGCAGACGCCCTACTACAGCTGACATGTGTGTGCTCTTTGTTGACAAATTTGCCGGTTCTGTTTTGCTTTGCATTTTAGGACACGATCACACGCTGCAAAGTTATGAAACACATCAGCGTCACTCGGCCGCTGACAAGTGTAGAGCCATTAAAAATGAATCAGTCAAACCATTACCTAGTGGAGGAAGTGATTTCACTTTCTTTCTTTCATTAGAGCATTAATGCATCTCCTTCCCTTTAGAAAGCACTGCAGAGGTTCATGAATCCATTAGCTGCACCCTTCCATAGGCAGTATATACTGCTGCATTCACCGTACTGTGCTGTCAATACAACTTCCCCAGCCCATTAGCACAACAGAGCAACTCAGGCCTCAGAGATGTCTCATTTGCCTGAAGGCTGAGGGGCAAGTGAGAGCCTGAATGAGTGAACAGCCCCAGGGAAGGAGAGCAGAGGGAAGTGTGGAAAGAGAGAAGGGGTTGAGGTTTTTACAGTAGGGGTCAGAGTTCAGACCCAGGGGCGCCTAAGGGATCTTATCTACAGCTGTCTGTTTATGTCCTCAGGAGGAAGCAGAACTCGGAGACGGATCGGAAAGGTTTAGACACCAAATAGCTTCAGATTAACTTTTAATGAGACAGCTGCAATCGTCTCCTCGAAGATGGTTCCATAAGTGCCCA